ATATAATAGGAAAGCATTTTTGTTCTGAAATGCTGGTAGTCTAGAAATGAAGAGATTTATGCTCCGAGAAGTGAGGTAGCCAATTTTCTAAGAGCAACTGAGTACCCAATGTGCCAGTAAGAGTAGTTTTCAACTTGGAGCAATAGCACTATTCTCCAGAATAAATAAGTACCAGCTTAACAAGGACTTAGTATGTTTGCATTTCACCCAGGTATAAAAAAATTACATTGCATAAGAAACTAAGGAGTTGTATCAAGTTGAGATAAATACGATAATGATCCAGGGCATTAACTGGCGATTGAAAGGAGGAAAATAGAGCCTAAAACATGAGGTATTTCAAACCCAGAAAACTTCCAAAGATCAGGAATGTGGTACTGAGACTTCCCTTATCTCAACTCTTCCTTTAAAAAAAAAAATCTGTATCATTCCTGGATAAAAAATGAAGTCTAAACCATATTACAGGCCCCCAGAAGAGGTTAGTCCTCTTCACAGTCATTCTGTTGTAAGGAGATTGATGCATTCATGGAAAATGACTCTCCAAACCAGCAGAGTAGGCTTTGCATCCTGATTAGGCACTTGCAGATTCAAGGCTGCTGAGCAGTCTTTTCAAGAAGCTTTCCCAGGATTGCTTAGTAGAGTCAGCAGAAGAGGATCTTCCTAAAAATACACTGAGTAGAAAATGGTTCAGATACAAACTAGAAAATGCTGCATGAGATAATTAGGGTCACAAGTAACTAGTCAGTAATTTTCAGGGTATAAATAGGAGCTTGATTGGCCAGTGCATGATGAAGAGTGTATCAGATGAGATTATAGACACAGACACAAATAAAAAGTTGAAAAGCACTACTAATTTTCAAGGCTTAAAGATAAATGTTCAGAAATTAATTTCAGCTTTACATAATCACACAGGAAATAATTAAATGAAGCAAGACAGCCTTGTTACAGTTTATATCTAGATTTCCTCCCAAAGCCTTGTGGGTTCATAGGCAGGGTTTCTGGGAAGTACTTGGATCATGAGGGCATGATACTCATCAGTGAATTGATAAGTTTATAGCTAAAGGTGATACTGGGAAGTAAACCTTGGTCTGAGGAGGTAGGTCACTAGGGGTGTGGCCTGGAGGGACCCATCTCCTTCCTTCTTTCCTTGATCTCTCTCTGCTTCCTGTCTGCTATGCCACCAGCAATTCTCCTTTGCCATATCACTCTGCCTTGGAGCCAGCCAACTAAGGACTGAAACCTCTACAAACTGAGCTGAAATAAATATTTTCTCCTTTAATTTGTTAGTGTTATATATTGTGTCCCTGTGAAGAAAAAGTAGCTAAGACAAGCTGCTTGTTCAGAAATTAATTTCTATGCTAATCCTGAGCCCTAAATTTTTTCTAATCCTATTTCAGTGTAATCACTTTACAGAAGCACACACATTTACCCATGTTCTGCAAATACCACTGTTTAGCAGTTTTTCACAGTGTATTTAGCTCTGATATAGGTCTTAACATTCTTATACTCATTCTAACAAATAAAAAAGAGAAATCAAATCCAATATATTTACATGTAAATTTGGGACCGCTTCTTGATTCACAAACCCCAGAAAAATTCAAATGTTTATATATTAGTTTTGGCTCACTCTATCTGACCAGGGATTCTGATAACAAACCTCTGAAATTGCTTCTATGGACTAAGTGAGAGTCCAGTAAATTACCAAATGATGGATGGACAACTGCTGTCATGATATGATCAACAACCATTAAAAGGTTGTCATTTTCTAAAATTATGGCTATTTCCTTGTGTTAGTTAGCTTTCTGTTGCTGTGACCAAATACCTGAGATAATCAACTTATGAAGAAGAAAGTTTCATTTTGGCTCAGGGTTTCAGAGAGTTTAGTCTACAACCACTTGGTCTTGTCACTTTGGGCTGTGATAGCACATCATGGCACAACATATTGCAAAAAAGGTCTGTTCAACTTATGGTAGCCAGCAAGGAGGAGAAGGAGAGGGAGAAGGAGAAGGGGAGGGGAGGGAGAAACAAGAGAGGGAGAGGGGAGGGGGAGAGAAGGAAGAGGGAGAGGGAGAGGGGGAGGGAGAGACACTCCTAACAACCTAACTTTCTAACTAGGCCCCACTCCCTAAAGGTTGTACTACCTCCCAATAGACCACAGGCTGGTAATTAAGCCTTTAGCATATGAACATTTAATAAACATTTAAGATCCAAATCACAACACCTCCCTATATAACATTAAAAAATATAACTAAAATGACAATAGCTGTAATATGGGCTCAGAGATCATCCTTTTTCCGGGCTGGGGATTTAGCTTAGCAGTTTGGTGGCCTGCCTTGCAAGTGCAAAGACCCAAGTTCAATCCCGGGTACTAAAAAAAAGAAAAGAAATCATCCTTTTCCCAATTAAATACACTCATGAAACCTAAGAAAGGACTGTTTGATTGGGTTATTCAGTGAGGTATTAATTGATCTATTCATTTAATCAATGTTTACTTTTTGTTGGATGTTGTGCTTGGGGCAAATCCCCTATCTTCATTGTTTAATGGAAGATGCAAACAAGAGAACAATACAAAAGTATGATGATGCTCATGAGAAAAATAATCTTCACTGGGAGAGAAAATATACTATGGAAGGTTTCTATGAGGAGGTGATGACTATCCAGAGTCTAAGGGAAGAAAAAGAACCGTTACCATAAACAAAGTATATCAGGGCCAAGAAATGGACACTTTGCAAAGGGTTTTAAGAGAAAAGAGTTTTGATTTGATTTGAATTTCATTCTGTTTTCACTAGCTATCATTTTTTTTTAAAAAGAAAAAAAAAGGTAAAAAGAAAAAAACCTCAAGAGGAAATGTTTGGAAAGATAGATGACCTGTATTTAAACTAGACCATGTCTCAGAGCTTTATTGTTTAAAGCTGGAGAAAAGAGCCAATGTTCTCCAAGGTCTCTTCTTCCACTTTAGAATTTTCTGATTTTTGAAGCTGTAGCATCACCTTAACAATAAATATGAGAAAGAAGGTCAATATTCATTTGTAACCATAGCCAACAGGATAGGTGGAGGATACAGAGAAAATGAAGGAGTCTAAGGGCATGGTCAAATGGCCTTCCATCTAGGCCATCATACAATAATTTTCTAAAACTTTATTGCCCTGGTTCCTTAACATTATTTTAACTTCTTATTTAAAAGATTGTGGTCTTGGAAAGCTCTATAAACTTTTAAAGATATTATTCAAAACATGATCCAGTTACATCCTAAATTTCTCATTTTCAATCTTTGAAAACTCAAGAGTTCTTAAGTGCCTTTCTTTCTCTAATACAAAGGAAATAAATGGAAGAATTTGTATCCTCCCAAACCCAGAAAATACAAATTAAGTTTAGCTGCAATCATTTTGTGGGACTTTGATAGAACTGGATTCTAATTGCATAATCTATTGAGAACTATTTTATTTCATTTTTGTCTGCCTTTTCAAGTCCATACTATAGGACATTTTTTTAAGTGAATACTCTCCTTGAATGTATTACAAGAGGGTATTACAAGATGCAATGTATAGAGAAATTAAACTGAACTTAATTGTAAATCAAATTGGCTATGAGGAAAATCCAAATATTAAGACATCATCAAACTTTCTGATTAAATTAACAAAAGTGGCACAATCTTTCCTTGTTCACCCTCTTAAGATGCTAAAGATTTACCGGGTGCAGTGGCGCACATCTGTAATCCCAGCACTCAGAAGGCTGAGGCAGGAGGATCGCTGTGAGTTTGAAACCAGCCTGGGCTACATAGTGAGCTCCAGGTCAGTCTTAACTACATAGTGAGACCCTGTCTCAAAAAAAATGCTAAAGATTCTTTATAATGACACCTTAGCATATCTGAAAAATCAGTTAAGGCATAACTGAATCACAATCTCATGTAAAACCAGGAAGAATAACAAAACAAAGAGATATTGTTAAATATTAAAATAGATTTTTCTAGCTGACACTGAAAAATGGCATGTTTTGTAACACAGTAGTTCTACTTCCAGGACCCTATCCTGTAGAAAGGCAAGCAGACAAGAATATCCACTGCTGGGCCTGGGATTTACCTCAGTCGTACCACAGTCACCTTGCAAGTGCAAAGTCCTGAGTTTGATCTCTGGTACAAAAAATAAAATAAAATAAAATAAAAAAGAAAGAAAGAAAGAAAGAATATCCATTGCTCTATTGTTTATATTAGTGACAAGTTTATTCTAATTGGAAGAATGGTTAAATACTGAACTGCTTCGGAATATTTTGTAACTACTAGAAAGAATGCATTCCATTCATACGTACTAATATGAAAAGACATTAAGTGCAGAAAATCATGTTGATTTATAATACAAGGGTACCTTGGTTCATAAACTCATGTCTCTCCACAAACTGAAGTGGATGAGAACCAAGTCAAATTTCCCCCTAAGGTCAACACTGAACCTTACCATTCTTGTCCAATTCAGTTCGGGATTAGCATCATGGAAAGAGTCAAGTCTGTGAACTGAGGTATCACTTTATACAAAGCTGGAGACCGTTCATGGAAACAAATATGTGCCTTTCTATATGTACATATATCTGTAAATTTAATATGGGTAAGGGTACAGAAGGATGCATACCCGCAGAGGAAAGTGGCTGGAGTACAGGGAAGGGGGAAAGAGAAAGCAAAAAGGATCTTGTTACTTCTTATGCTTTTATATTATTTTAATTTTTCTTATTAAAACTTTAAAAATTAACACACACAATTCATAGGCATCAATTGTTAACCAAGAGAAAGGAATAAGAATAATAACCAAAAGCCTAAAATAAAAGAAGGACATTAAAGAAACACACATTAAAGAAAGGTACTAGAAGTCCACTTGAGAAGGCAGAAACTATCTTAGTATAAGTTTTTTGTGCTGTTCTTGATACCAGATGACATATTTTCAAACATCAAATTATATAACTCAAAAGAATAACATCTCTGATTGATATGCACTATAACTTCATACCATACAGATTGCATCATTTTATACTATGTGTCAAGCATGTCACTAAAAAGGCATAAAACATATGCATTTTACCTGTAATAAGTCACCTTGACTAAGTCACAAAACAAGTAGTTTGCAGACTGCAAAGTTTTCTAAGTGCCACATAAGGGTCCTGAAACATGGTGACATTTCCCACGTTTTGCAGCTGTAAGTGACCCATACCATCAAGATCACGGCCTCATCTCACATTTGTTACATTTTTGACAAGCAATTTTCATTCAGTAATGCTTGTTCATGTCTACCGGCATAAAGCATAAAGGACATATGTCAGTATTTTTTCTTCAAAACTATGAAGGAACATCCAAATACATTTTTATAATGCTGTAACTTTTTTACAATTACCATGACAATATATAAATAGCTGAACTATAATAATGAATGATATAGGGAATTTGTTCCATGGCACATAGACTTACCTAATATTTAATTTACTCATTTTTCCTCTCTCTTGCCTGTGTTTTTTCCTCCCATCCTTTCTTAGTGTCTGCCTTCCACAGATATGTATTAAATATGTTATATTTCAAGCGGTGCTGGCTGTCCAGAATTCAAAGATGAATATGGCATAATCAGTGCCTCAGATGAGTTTATAACATAGTGCGGTAGACTCATATATAAATAAGTAAATCCACATAAAATATGGTTTCAGAAACAAAATTCTGATGAGAGAAAAAGTAACACTAATTGGTCATCTATTGCACGCCACACTCAATTAGGTATTTTATATATAATTATTTATTAAATCTTCACATTTAGCCCTCAGCCTTAATGTATGATTATTTACCTCTTGCAAATAAAGAACTTAAACTGAAGGAAAATTAAATAGTGTTAAAATTTCTCAAAGCACCTAAGAAATAATCAGCAAATTTATTAGGATGGTAATTATAAACTTGGCTGGGCTAATTGATTACTAATATCTTCTCTAGAATAACCCAAAAATCTTTGTACCTACTACCAAATCTCACTTTTAGATGGACAGAAAGAGGCTGATATAGTTAATTACAATGAAATGCAGTGTTTCTTTTTAAGAGTTGAGTTTTGAATTTTAAGTACAAGAAGATAATAGTATCATCATTAAATAATTCAGAAAAGAATGGATGATTGGATAACTAAATTTCCTGAAAACAAAACAATTGGCACTTTTTTTTTATTTTGTTTGTTTTTTGAGACAGAGTCTCACTATGCAGTTGAGACTGCTCTGGAACTCACTATGTAGCCCAGGCTGGTCTCAAACTCACAGCGATCCTCATGCTTCAGCCTCCCGAGAGCTGGGATTAAAGGTGTGCGCCACTGCACCCGGCTCCAACTGGCACTTTTTAGAGAAAGCAAATAACTTTAGAAATGCTAATGAATGACTTATCTCATCTCCATTTTACCAAATTTCTTTAATGTCACATCTTATATGCATCCTTAAAGTAAGAGATATTTCTTTTTCCTTTCATGGGTCGGAGGTAGTACTGGTATCATTTCTATAGCCAAGAAGTATCCTAGGGTTTTAAGGCCTTATAATTATTGTATATTGTGACTTGTAAGATTTTGAGGGGTTGAAGGGCACTATTACTTTAAAACTGGTAAAACTGAAGATCTATAGGTATTAACTAAGAGGGGACAGAAAGGACAGTTAGTGAGCCTTCCTTATAAGTATTATACAGTTTAATATTTCTGTTTGTTAATAAGAATGAAAGGTAGCTTGCCTGCTTTCTTCTTTCCAACAGACATTTTGAATACATATTGTGATCTGGGCCTTGGGCTAGATACAAAAATGAAATCGCTCACAGCCTATGAAATATAGACTCATAAAGACATTATTCTATTCTAATATAATACTATACTACTAAGCAGTTACCACAGTTACCAAGCTCTAGGCACTATACTATGTACTTTATATGTGTTATCTCCTTTAATCCTTAAAATAACTCTTTCAGGTGAGCGTTAATATTACCTTCATTTTCTATACAAAAACAGTAAGACTGATAGAGGTCAAGTTTTCCCCAAGATCACACACATTTCTGATGTGTTTGTATATTAATTACCACATAAGGCTGCTAGATAGAAATACAAACAAAGAGCTATGGAAGCCAGAAAGGCCCAAAGGAGAGTAACTGACTTGGCCTCAAGCAGTCTAGGGATACTTTATAGAACAGCTAACATTTGAGCTTGAAAGAAGAAATAGTGGATATTCACTGGGAAGAGAAGAAAGGAAGGGCATTATTCTAAGCTGACAAAAAAGAAAAAAATGCAAAGACATGGAGGTGTAAAAGGGCTTGGCAAGGCTGAAGGAATTAATTCAAGATCAGCTAGAAATGAGTTAACAGATCTAAAGCTACATAAGGAAAGTCTGCATGCTTTGACAAAGCTTAGGCTTCATTCTGTAGGCGGAAGAAGCAAGGACAGAGAGAGAGAGAGAGAGAGAGAGAGAGAGACTGACACAGAGAGAGAGAGAGAGAGAAAGAGAGAGAGAGATTCTTATAACAATGCAGGGAGTAGGCTGGTATATAAAATCTATCTGTACTTGCAATAATCTAGGAGAGAGAGAAGACACTGACTGAGACCATAATACTACAGATACCTGGGTATTCGGGCTGCCTATCCTGTGTAGGCTACTGAGAGGTAGATAAGACTAAGAAAGGAGAGAAGTAATTAAGTATACATCATTTGTGCTAAGCATTTTTAGATATATTATCTCAGTTAACATTCACAGCATCCCTGAGAAGTTACTTCTTTCTTTCACTATTTTGCAGAGAATAACTCTGTTAAGAAAGTTACCCAAGTCATACAGGTATGATCACTAGCAGAGCTGGAATCCAAAACACTCACGTCTGTCTTCCTTCAAAGTCCATGGCCTTTCCACAGGACAGATTCAAGGATAGTAAAATTTATTGTTTTACTCATTCCAGACTGCTTTTACTGAGTTTAAATAAAGTACCTTCAAAAGCTAAAGTTAAAGCAGCAGACACAGTAAAACAAAGGCTACATGAGTAGATCTATAAAATACAAGACTAGTTAGGGCCTTAAACAGTGGTCTATATTTCACCTTCGTTGGCATATTGCCATTCTAAAAAAGAAATTTCTGGAGATGCATATGTCATTTGCATTTGTGGTTTCAGAAACTTCCCAGAGAACAATGCTTTCAATAAAAGGATATAGTATTAAGGTTAAAATTACAACTAGCTTTACCTAGCAACTCAATTCCTAGAATCAAGGTTATTACCAAAATGATTCTGAGTAAGTTTCATGCATTTTTATATATATTCACACACATACACATAAACACACACACACACACACACACACATGTACACGCACACATGCACAAAAAGTGTTTATTCAGTGAAATCAGGATAGCCTGCTACCTTCAGGACCTGTTTACAAGATCACATTCCTATGACTGAATGTCCTTGCTACCACATTATATCAAGCTTCACTGTGCTGTGCCAAAGTGCTGCTGTACATTTATTATCATTCATTAACTCTTCCAGATGGATTGGAAAAGATAATCAACATGTTGCAAATGTTATATAAATATCAGATGTTGCTATGTATGTTTTTATTATTCATCATTATTACTACTATTATTTTTTTCATCAGATCATCAGCATTAGTATTTCCAGGGATAGACCCTGAAATCTGTTTGGAGGATCAAGCATAGCAGGAAACTTAGATACCTTTGATCCCAAAATAGTAATTTTTTTAACTGAAAAGACCATTCTCTTCAGATTATCAGATTTGTTCAGCCAAGCCAATCATCATCCCATGATTTTCTTCTTTCATTTTTTTCTCTTGTACTTCCTGTCTTTTAATAAACATCTTTTAATATCTAACTCATTTTCTTTCTTTTTTTTTGTACCGGGGATTAAACTCGGGTCCTTGCGTTTGCGAGGCAGGCAGCAGAACCACTAAGCTAACTCCCTGGCCCTCTAATTCATTTTCTGTTTATTCAGCAAGTATTTGTTGAGTGCCTCCTCTCTGCCAGACCCACTTCCAGGTATAGTGACTAAAAATACCTGCCTTCAATGCTATACCATGCTATTGGACTGGTTTTGCCACACATCTCAGTCAGATCATCAGTCCCTTCTGAAGGCCACGGTCAGACACTCTGTCAGGACCCAGATCTGGCAATAAGTGATGAGTAGGAAAAAAAAAAAACACCAGGGCTTCAGGTGCCACCTATAACCCACAGGGTCCTGCCAGATTCCAGCTACACACCAAATGGATAAGAGAAAATTTCCCTCCTGTCCCACTCACCTTTGTGTATGCTTTGAGTTGTTACTACCTCCAGAGTCCCATACTTTTGCAGTTGCATTTGTGGTTTCTTCCCAGGCAGCAGATGCCTACCTAATACCAAGTACCTGGGATACGAAGTTTTTCATGAGGAAAATTCCAATCTGAAGGAACAGAGTGCACTGAACATAACAATCAAGACTGTGGCTGCAGACTGTGCAAAGACACCTTCTCATTAGGTTTGAGCTCTGCAATTGATGAAGCCATTCACATGTGGTCCATCTCTGCTGAGCTAGAAACTCAGCCAGCAATGCCTGAAAGGCATGACCAGGAAGGCTAAATTTGACCTACTTCAAACTCGGGCTCTTTCTCTGTAGGCTCTTAATGAGTTTCCTTAAACCAAATCTTGGTTTTCCTACAAAGTAAGAAAGGAAAGATTCAAATGAATCATTTAGAAATATTCTTTTACCATACAATGTAGATTAAAAACTTTTAAAATGAGAGCATTTCAAGTGGATAACTACTGCATATCTATCATAAAGGATGGAAGAGAAACTAAAAAAAAAAAAGCAAAAATTAAACCTTCAGAATACTAAAAAATGTTATTTAAGCCAATGATTCAGCCTCTTCCCTAAACCAAATCTTTGCTAGAAGTAATAACATGAAGAAAATGAATGTTTTGAGATGCATTTCTTATTTTCCTTTTCTTCCTTCTGCTGGAGGTGACTAATGAACAGTGAAATGACCAAGGGGTAGGCAGAAAGCCACAAAGGAGAGGAGGAAAAAAGGACAGAAATAATCCATAAATGGTAGCTAGGTCTGAAACAATGTACAATTCAGTGTATTCTCACTTTACAAGATAAGATGAGAGGCATGGAAATAATAGTTATGTTAGCATAGGTAATGACAGTAATTAATAGTTGCATGTCTTTAACTATGCCAGGCCCAGTGCCTGCCAGGTATTTTATATCCATTATCTCTCAGCAATCCTACAAGGGTGACATTATTCTTATTTTAAAGAAGAACAATTGGAAGCTCAGAGAGCTCAGTGACTTTCCCAGATCTACATAGCAAAGCGATGGGGCTTGAATTAGAACTCAAATGCTATGCCTTTACCTTTCACCACAGATCTCTGTAGAACCCCTTAAGCTCTACTGCAAACATGATATATTCTTCAAATGAGAATACATTACATTATTATGAAAATTTAAATATATAAACTAACATTCCAGTAGAACATGTAGTATATCATTGGCCTATGGAATGTAGACCTTAGCATGCATAAAAATTATCTAGAGAGCGTGTTTAAATTGCATATTCCTGGGTTTCACTTCAGCAGATTAGTTGGTCTGGGGGAAGGATCTAGAAATTGACAGTGTAAACAGGCATCCAAGTGGTTACTATAAGTAATCCTCAGATCATATTCTGAAAAGTAGTATCATAAACCTTATCTCAAGTTGTCAATTTTCAATTTGACATTCCCTTGGCTTATTATTCACTTCATTCTAACAGAAATGGAACCATGTCAATTAAACAGTCAATTGAAGATGCAAAAAATACAACCCTGGTCAAAAGAAGCCTGTGTTCTAGGTAAAACTCTGCTGCAAACAATTGGGAAAACAAATAATTCCTTTAAATTATATGGACCTTTGTTTCCTTACATGGAAGATAAAGAGCCTCTAAAGTCACATATGTTGGATTTTATTTGGCTAGAGAAAGCCAAATCTTCAAGTGATAATAATCTATAGACCCTAAATATTTCAATGGTAAAATATAAGAAGTAGAGATTATTTTTATTAGTTCATAATACCCATATAGTACCTCCAAATATTATTAGTTTAGGGGAAGGGAATGGGAATTCAAAGATGGAAATAGTTATAACTTTAGTTATATCATTAAGGAAATTCAGTTGTTTGCTTAGCAACCAATTTCCTCAATCAGGTAATTACATCGGTAGCTAAGAATGCTTCAAGTATATTACTACTTCAAATCTTAGAAATACATTTATTGTTCAGTCATTCATTCTAATTTTTATAGCATCTCAAAGCACAAAGCTATTTTCAATCTATTTTTAAAGAACTAAAGACACTTCTTGATTTGCATTAACATGCCCTGGATATTAACGTTAAGAATTGCTGATTTATATCTAAGGTTTAAAAAAATGCCCACAATATGGCATATTGGATTGTTAGTGTCCATGGAGACAAACTTAAGTAAAACAAGACACACGAATAAAGTTATGAGTTATAAAAGAGAAGGAAGACCCCTGGCAGAGAGTCAATGAGGAAAATCATAAAGCGAACAGGCTATGTTCTCATAAAATTATGTATGGGTTTACTTCCCTTGAAATATTCCTCTTCTTTCTGCAATTTACTAATACCTTCCTTGGAGGCACTAATTTGCTTGTTCAAATACACTAATCTAGCAGCAGAATTTGGTTAAAGAAAGAAACAATGAAAAGATATATTACTATATGGAAAATCTGAGTCATCAGAAATAATTCACTCAATTATGAACTAAGTTGAGATGTACTACTTATAGCAATGTTGAAGGAGACATTAACTTCACATAGATATAGTGTGTGATATTTTCTCTAGCATTTTATAGCTTAATCTTTCAATTATACTACATTCCCAAAAGCATCATATTAAGTAAACTCAATTCATTCATCATCTTACATAGCTTATATAGCATAGTAAAGTCACTTGGGAAAGTATATTGCAAGTTTCATAAGGATAAATATGCTTTTTCTATGTATGTGCTATCTATTTCCTCAGCAAGATCTTGGAGAGTTCATAAATTGACTGACTTCTTTAGCTGATGATTTTGTAGCATTCAAGGAAGATAAAATGTTTTCTGCTGCATCCAGGAGTATAATATTGTTACAGCTTATTTACCTGTATTATAAAGTAAACTCTGAAATTAAAATGCAAAGGTTTGGGCTGGGGATTTAGCTCAGTGGTTCCACCATCTACTTTGCAAGTGTAAGGACCTGATTTCAATCTCTGGCACCAAAAAAAAAAAAGAGCAAGGTTTATATTTTAGGAATGAACCATTGATGAGACACCAAAGGCCGGCTGGGCCCCAGGGTATGTAGGTGCCAGGGCACCTTCTACCTTCACATTTTCTTACATCTTCTCAAGTGAAAAACAGTTCTGTGTTGCTGAAAGGGGCTGGTGGAACTATAGAGCTCTCTCTACCAAGACAAATGAGAAAAGTACATTTGCAGAGGATCAGAGACTTCTATAATCATGACTTTCTGAAATCATTGGAGTGCAACTTGGCCTGCAAATTTTGCAATTAATTACCTAATTTCTTAGAGGCTTTGGACCCACTTAAATAAATTTAGAAGTGATTATGGACTAAGGATATCCCATTAATGCTGAAGAGAACACACACACACATGCACACACACACACACACACACACACACACACACAGAGGCACAAAAAAGTAAATAACTAATTCTTTAGCATTTAGAATTTTGGTAGATTAATTCTGATTAAGATTTAACTCTGAGTAATCTTGGGGTCTGAAAACCCTGAAGAAGGAAAATAAAAGTAAATGAAATTAATTATAATGGCAGGTAAAATTTATCAAATGCTTGACTTGAGCAATCTTCAAGAATCTATCTTTATGGCAATTGTTTGATGTAGATATAATTATATATTCAGTTTTACATATAAAGAAACTGAGGCTCACAAAACTTAAACTTCTTATTTAAGGATTCATAGCTGGTAATGAAAAAAAACAGAATTTAATTCATTCATATGGTTTCCAGATCTGACATGTTTCAATAGTATGATTTGCTACCCTCTAGAAAATGTCTCTTTTGTTTTCTCAAGTCCAGCTCTACAATGGTCAGCTTATCTCTGCTTACCTGTCATTAGTTGTAAAGGAAATGAGCTATCCATCTTTAAGGAAAGCAGCAAAAAATATTCAAATGAGAAATGAATAAGGATCTCGTATTTTTATTTGTACCATATTGTGCTGCACTAAAGGCAATTTATTTCATTCACTACTTCAGAATGCTATTAATTTTGGAATATGATACTAGCATAAAAGACATGCCCTATCCATTTATTGTACTTTTCAACAGGAATATCTCTAATGTTGAGAATATAAGGATCAAGAGTATGGAATTATGATCACACTCGAGGTCCTAAAGCACCTTGTAAGTGGGATAACTCTCCACTTAGAATTTGTGAAAAGTAGAAGACAGACTGAATTCTCACTTGTGTCACTCTGAATGGGAAGATCCCACTGTTTTGAGATGCCTGGAAAAAACTTGTCAAGTCAGACCAGAAAGTTTGGAATGTTCCAACAGAACCTCCTCAGCAGTGGGACTCTTGGTACTGATGCTAAAGAATTTCAGGAACCCTGGGTTAGGGCAAAGTAAGTCATATATACTATTTTCTTCCTACCTTTCTATTCTCAATTGTGGGGTTCTGTGTTAATTGCACTCCCAAAGACTGCCTGCCTTTGGAAAGTGACAATGACTAAATTTTCTTATTATCAATTCATTCAAAGCTTATGTCAAAAACAGAGAAATTAATGGAAAAGGCTATAAAGGCTAAGAAGGTTTTAGTAAATTATGTAATACATTAAACTACCTAAAGGTACAAATGACATTTTTAAAAAAATCCTTTGTGGAATCACATTTTTATTGTCTAGACATCAGTTCACCCTATATTTCATGAAACATTTTATTATTTGTTTATCTGACAATGGTTATTCTTGAATCTATGGTCAGATTAGGTTAGACAGGTGGTCCTTTCAATTTAAATGGATTTTTATGCCATTAAAAGGAATGTTTGCTCTGCCTAAGAAGAGTATTGACTATAAAAGTCATAGGCTCTGGACTATTTCCTGTGGGATTTTTCCACCATCCTTCCAATTAGTCAGTCACAGTGATGTTTCCCTAAACATGGTCATTTATTTTTCTCTGGAGAGTTCCTCCTATCCCATTCAAGAAAGATGATCCTGAAAAAGAAAGAGAGCTCTCTATGCATCCCCTCCCAGTGCAATATTTATGATTAATTGCAGCCCCTCAGTGAAAGATAAAAGAAAAAGGCATTCAGTTTCCTCGTTCTTCTCATATAAAACAATTTGTTGCAGTTTGAGTCTCGGCCAACTTCCATTGTTTAGGCAATAATTAGTCAAATTATACCAATCACTAGCAATCATAACAGAAATTGTATAATTGTAATTTAGACCAATGACTTTGGACTTATGAAAATAGAATGTAGAGTATTTAATTGCACAATATGGCACTGTAATTCTATACCTATAAACTTGAAGTTTTTATATAGCTGATTAATTTACAATACCATGGACCTAAACATTTTTGCAAATGACAAAACTATGTTAAGTTCTACAACATATCTAAGCAGCAATTCATTTTTATATAAGTTG